ACATTTCAATGTTAATTAAATATTCATTGGGTATAGTTTGGTTATGTGTAGAGAGATCATGGATTACAAATTTGTGTTTTGTGTTTTTAGTCCTAAAAATTCTGGTTATTGGAACTCATATGTTTTTAAAACATCATACACACAATGTTGGAGTTTCTAGGACTAATCAGTGACACCATATTTTATTGCTCTCCTCAACCTTCATTTTGGGGAGTATTGATTGGCCTAAAAAACCTTTTAACCCCACTCTCCATTTTAAACATTGTTGAGGTTAAGTCCTTTGGCTTTCGTAGGAATTCTTTTAGTCGTGTAGTGTTTAGTGGGTGTTTAAGGCAAGAAAATAGCAAGACAAGCAAGTAATTAGAGACAAAGTGGATCCAATTCTATTTGAAAAAATAGAACGATTACAACAGTACTTCTGCCGATCGGCGCTCCGATCCTCTAGACTAAGCTGAAAGATAATGAGAAACTAGAGAGAAGTCTAATGCTTGAAAATCCAAAGTTGTTAACCCTTTACAATGAAATAAATGTTGCTATTTATAGTACAAGTTAATAGGTGGAGTGGGTGACGTGGCCGGTCCTGAGTGGATGAACCTCCAACCACAAAATCTTTCATATATAGTGCATTAAATGCGCTTCCCGATGCTAGGATGTGATGGTTTCTTCGGCTTCCGGTTAACCTCCTTAGGCGTAGGTCATGATTACCTGACTTTCACCTCTGTGCAACACTTGTCCTAGGAGACGCTCCTCACCATGTGTCTCCTTGGTTTGCCATTGCAGTGGCGCCTTGGCCTATAAATACATGCCTTATGTCAGGGTTTCTGAACTTCAACTTCCTCTCTCTAGCTTTAGCTCTCGCCTCTCTCTCTACTCTTTGCTTTAGCAAGCATCTACACTTATTCCAAATGTAGCTTTAGGAATTCAAAATGTCCATTTTTAATATATTTTTATATACAAGAGCCCAATGGTTCGCCCCTTAATTACAATATACAGAGTATATAATAACATAATAAATGTTACTTAGTTATAAGGGAAAATTATCAAATAAGCTCTCGAACTTTCATAAAAGTGAAAATCTCCCCTTATATGGGAGGCTCTGTCCGGCCGTCGCCATTTGGGGCGGTTCCCGGTGAAATTTTTTGAACATCTTATTCATTAAGTCTAGTTTACGCATGCCAAACTTCAGCTAAAAATTCAAACGGGAAGGCAGTCAAATGAATTTGTAAAGATAACTGCGTAGTTAAACAGCGCAGTATATTTCAGATAATCATTTGACTGCCTTCCCGGTTGAATTGTTAGCTGAAATTTGGTACAAGTAAACTAGACTTAATGAAGAAGATGATAAAAAAAATTCATCAAAAAATTTCACCAGGAACCGCCCCAAATGGCGACGGCCGGACAAAGCCTCCTATGTAGGGGTGATTTGCACTTTTTTTGTAAGTTCAAGGGCTTATTTGATAGTTTTCCCTAATTAAAATTATATTCTTAATTAATGGCAGTTATATGATTTTCATTGTTGACCACTACGTAGTACCATGTGAACCCTACACTCGATTCCCATAAGTAATCTAGATGAACCTTGACCGTTTAGTTTTTTCATTGACCATACAGTCACCGTTTTACCATCTCTATCAATAAATATTGGGGATAATAATTTAAATATCCCTAACTTTGAAGTGGTGTGGGACAAGTACCCTAAACTTGCACATGTATGTAATATACATACCCCACACTTTATGTAAAAAGTTATATTAGCACAATGATCATATATTTTTTTACAAATATAATTTTATGGTGTTAAGTACATAATTATACAAAACCTCTAAGAGGATACAATTAAAATTAATTAAATTAAACGTGATTTAATATTATTCGTTTCACAAATGAAGTTGTAAAATGTTAACTACATTCTAACAAAGCTTAGAGTATTTTAAATTATGTATTTATTCTAATAAATTTGTATTTGTAAAAACATACAACCATTGTGTGAAAATAACTTTTTATATAAAGTTCGGAGAATACATATGACATATGTAAGTTTAGGGTACTTATCTCACATTGCATTAAAGTTTGGAGTATTTAAATTATTTGCCCCATACATGTGTGTATGTGTTTGTGTGTGAGCATTCATGCATGCATGTGGGACATGGGTCACGTAGATTAGGTGTGACATGATGACAATGACTACAACCCATAGGTCATCTTGGTGAAAACCCATTGCTTTCCCTTTAAGGTTTTCGTGAAAGTTGTGTTCAACGTTACCTTTCTTCTTCTTTTACGTTCACAATGATATTGTCCATCTATGCTTTGTTATCTTCCTTATCTCTATTGATGAAATCTTCATCAATGATGAACTTCATGTGGTTTTGATTAGCCTCTACAACCTCCTTGAGAGATAAGGACAATGACCACTTTAATCACAATATTGAACTTTGATGTGCACTTTAATTGGGAAAAAAGGTTGCGTTCGGTGTGCTTGTGAGAAAAAGGTCTGGTTCTAATATGATATAAACAAAACATCAACGATGATAATGAAAAAGCGTGAACAATTCACTTAATATTTGAGATATGCTTGAAGACTTGAGACATATCATACTAATCATCTCAGTATTAGCCGTCGAAGTGGATTCTTGAGTCTATGAGCACTTGTGCTTATAAAAAAATGACTAACTTATCAAGACACGTGGTAAAATAAATTCAAGGGGCAAGAATAAATGAGATTATGTTACATATTGGTTTGAAACTTCTCATCTAGTACGTGGAGATGACTCCATTTAGATTAAGACTTCAGCGAAGTCCTCCATTCTCTTAGAAATGAAGCAAAACACTGCAAGAAAAATCAATCAAAATTGAAATGTGATCTTAGGGATTTATAAAGGGTATTACGAACCTCTACAAAAGCATGCAAACATTGAGCATAAATATGTGTGTGTAAAGACATCTCACAAGATAAGGCACATATCTCTATGGAGAAGTACATGAACTCAGAGGGCTTTTTTTTCGCTTAATGAGAAATTACATGTTTTTTCATTATTTGATAAAACTCAAAAAATATTGTGTGATTAGATAACCATGAATTGTGTGAAAATGGAAGTAAGAGAAGAAAGAGAAGAACTTTGTGAGACAGTAGGGCAACAACTACAAGTCTACAACATCGTACATAGGAGTTACATCAACACAGATGAAGATGCATATGAAGGTGGAGGTGGAGGTGAAGGTATCATCAATAAAAAGAGAGAGACAATACCCGGCAGCGAGAGCTGATGGAAGGGAGTGACATGAATATGAACAAACAGGAGGTCAATTGATGAAGGGTTGACTAGAGCAATATTTTTTTTAAAAAAAAAATTGTGTAAGGGTCTTTAATCTATCATTTCAATTATACCACATAGTATTTCTTGTCTGAATCAAGATCTCGTCTAGTTTTTCATCCAAAAGTGGACAATATTATTTTTATCATTATTTCATCAATGACAGTTTGAAAATCAATCATTAAATAATTTAAATTGATATAGATTTAGTTTCATTTCAATACCATTCCTCTCACCCAAATAAAATGAACCAAACAAAAACACGAACCAAATTTCAAGTTACATATATAAAATTATGAAAAATGATTAGTGAGCTGTTTTTAAATCATACCACAAGACGTCTTTCTAGTAGGGAGTGTTTTTTTTTTTGACAAAAAAATTTAAATTCAATTAAAAATGTACATCCGTATTCTATTTATTGATAAAGTAAACATATACTCCTTATTCTATTTTTTTTAAATGCGGCTTATATTGATAGAGAAACATTCAGTAAGGGACAAAAGAGACAAATGAAGCACTTCCAGCCACTGACCCTCGGACCAGCCTAAGAACCAATCACCCTAGACAGAGCAATATGATTCGCTAATCCTATAACATGTCTAGATGAGCCTATCGTGGCCAGAGCAAACCCCCCATCACCCCAACCTAATGTAAGAGTTTGAAAAAACAAAAAGTGACAACAAGAACAATAAAAACCGTAAAAGTGTGAACATTAAAATGCATCCTAATTATCACGAACGAGCTCCAATGTCATGGTGGTGGTTATGGAGGAGGACGAGCTCTACCAATGTCAACACACTCTAAGAGAACGCAGACAGAAGCCCCTGACCAGACGAAACAAGCCAAGACACCAACAAAACTCCCCACATTGAGAGAAACAAACCACCCCGGAGCACCAGTGCCCGGGAAAGAATCGTCATAGAGCAAAATCAACACAATCAGCAAAGCAGAACAATCCAATTGGATCATACCTCTATTAAGAATGTGTAATGAGGAAACCAACGTACATAACCCAGAACATGTCCTCTTCGTCCTTTGTCGTTGATAAGTCGGGAGAAGAAGACGTTGATACGCTGATAACCGCACGCTAGGCCTCCTTCTAGCTAAAATGACCGATCGAAACTGACTCTGTATTACCCGTCTTGAAACGCCGATTGAAATCGATCTTGTCTAGCCGCACAAGATCGCCGCCGCTCTTAGGGTTTACTTCGCTCGAGCGATTCGTAATGATATATTTTATACTCCTTATTCTATTTATTGATTAGTAGGGAGTATTGTTTAATTATTATGTTTTATAATTGATTATATGTTTAATTATTATGTTAAATGAATTAACATGCTTTGTTATTAGTATTTATTTTAAATGATGTTGTTTTCTTTTGGACTGCTTTCCCAGACCAGACCAGACCAGATCAAATCAGAACAGACAAGACTTAATCAGACTTTTGTAGTTATAAAATACACATAGACCAGACATTTAACAGACCAAATCAAACGTTTACTAGATCAAAACAGACCAGACCACCAAATTTCAGTCCAAAAGAAAACATCCTAGATCGCCAATACTAGAAAAATGAACAATCACATGACAAGATAAATAAATTATATCTCCAATTAATGTAAGTATCTTAGTCTTGCTAAGATTGTAAATGCTTATAGTCTATTGTGATGAACAATTGAATAAAATAAAATAACAAAGACAATGAATAATTAAAAAGCTCGAATTCAAAGACATCTTTGCAGTGATGTATCCCAAGAACAACAACCCCCACGGAACATTTTCTACATCCACAGGAGTCGAAGCATTTTTCCCAGTCTCTTGATTTCTTTTTCTTTCAAACCCTGTTTTCCCCATCCACAGGAAAAGAGAAGTTTGTTGTTTTTTCAACTTCAGAAAAAAATCTGCAATTCATAAACCTCTACTCGCCATATTCCACTATTCCTAATAGTAGACATCCAATCCAATCTTTTTATATTGAAGTTTCTCATTTATTTAGGGTTTATTTGATTTGCTCGACATTGCTGTCTGCTCTATGCTCACCTAAATGGAGTTAGATTCAGAGCAGTACGCACCCTCTTTAAATCCATCCATCCACTACTAGGGTTTCATATTCCCTAATTCTATCGCATCTGTTGGTCCAGATTGATTCGGTTTTCTCTCTCTCATGTTTATACGTTTTTGTTTATCTTATAGGAAGTTGTTGTTTTGATGAATGCTTAGGGTTCGTTAGTTTTACTTTTTAAGTTTAAGTTGATAAATAGAGTTGCTTGGCTAAACTGATTTGATTGGACTTTGAGTTGGAAGAGCATTCCATCAGTTTTGCTTGTGAGAAAGATTATATTTTATTAAGTTTTATGGGTGAGGAAGATGGAGGATGGGCAGAGCAGACTCTGCTGTTGCCAAATGGGCTATTGGCCAATGCTGAACCCGTCATCCAAGGTGTGGACCCCGAAAGATGGTTGAAGGCAGAGGAGACGACAGCAAAGCTCATCGCCCGTATTCAACCCAATAAACCGTCTGAGGAGCGTAGAAATGCTGTTGCTGATTATGTCCAGCGGCTGATTGCCAAATGCTTCCCATGTCAGGTTGAGGGTCACTCAGTTCCTCTAGTAATTGTGTTTTCACATATGTACCTAAAAATATTGTTGACATTAATAATTAGATTAATTACATAGTTGTACTATCCAATTTTGCAGCATATGTATCCTTCGAATTCACTGGATATATAACTATTTTTTAAAGCTGTAATGGCGTTAAAGATATTTGAGAGGTTTACATGGCAGTTTGATGTACATATTCAGAATAACATGTGGAAAAACAAGTGATGATACATCGAATGTAGTTTTTATTATTACTCTTTGTGAATTATCATCATTTCAGTTTTCTTGACACCATCAGGTGTTTACTTTCGGGTCGGTTCCCTTGAAGACATATCTACCCGATGGAGATATTGATCTAACTGCATTCAGTGATAATCAGAGTTTGAAAGATACATGGGCTCATCAGGTTCGTGATACGCTAGAGAAAGAGGAGAAAAATGAGAATGCTGAATTTCGTGTCAAGGAGGTGCAGTACATTCAGGCTGAAGTAAGTCACCCCCTCCATTTTTTTCTTTATAATGGAGATGTACAATTGTAAGTAGTCCATCTAAATGTCTAATGATGGTGTTCTTGAATGGCAAGAAACGAGTGCTTATTTAGAACTTTTGGAGCTTGAATGATTCTTTTTATACCACATATTTTGATTGTCTATACTATAATGGCAATAAGACTGAGATTCTATTAGAAGTTAATGATTTTTGAATTTGGAGTGATATCATGCCGGACCTAAGAAAATGGAGGTGTGAATAGTTGAATGTCTCTGCTGCAGAATTTCTGAAGCAAATTAATAATGTCCCAGAAACAAATAGAAAGACTTAAAAAATGTAAATATTACTGTTGTTAAATTAAACCAAAATGTAATCAATATGCAAGAAGCGAAGGATGATTGGTTCGTTTCATTCCATTGATCTGTTGATCCTTTTCACAGCTGGATTTGTATGTCTGTTGAGTGTTGACGTTTGAGACACAACCGTGCCTCTTTTATATATACATGTCAACAAACTTATAGTCCTTACTAGGTATGCCATTTTTGTTATAATCTACTCTCACACAAAAACTAGAATCGTCTGAAATGCATTTTTTTATAGTCTAATTTAATGTAATTGAGTGGGGTGGCAGATAATTATTAAGTTTCCCATCAATTTAACCTTTATTTTGCTCAATAATTAATTGGAATTATTGATGTACTGTAGTCAAGACAGTGGTTTCTTATTATCAATCAACAATTGAACATTTATTGCTCTATTTTCAAGTCAAATTTTTTATTAGATTGCATCATGCTGGTATAACCATTTGAATGACATCCAAATTTTATTGGCAACATATTGGGTACATCACATACTCACATATAAGTAGCAGTGATTCGAAAAATGTTAAATTAGGGTAAAACATTTTTGGTATTTTTGGTTTAATTTGATATCAGCTTATTAATGATGGATGCACCAAATTTCACACATATTCCGCTACAATGAACTGCCAAACACCGACAGTCTCTACAAATTTTCTGTGACGGCGAGTACTAAATCGACCACATCATTTAACGATGGTGTTGCCATTCCCCCCATTTAACAAAGTAGTTTGACGTATGTGTCCAAAACTTCAAGGCCTGTTTTAGACTTATTTTAATGGCTTTATCATTCTCATAGGCTTGTAACACTAACAAACACAAAATACAAAGAAACAAGACATTCTAGTGTTTTTTTTTTGAAAAAGACATTATATTGTTATTTGTAAATTCATAATTATTTGCTTGAAGTTTATTCTGTATATTTTTTGCGACATATATATCTGTTAATATCTATTTTTGTATATAACATCGAGTTACACACTGAGTATCCTTATAAGTTGTGCTGAGCTTTTATTAAGGAATGTCACAGAATGTCACATTAAATAAAATATCTAACATAATATCATTGGGTTGACCTGCAAAAGTCAAACCCTGGTATAGAACTATGGATTTCGACATTTAGTTTGAAAGTTCAAATAATGTTTAATTCATGTTTTTGTTCGGAATATTTGAGTAGCACATAATCATAATTACTATATTTTTTATTTTATTTCTTAATTTGGAGCATAGTTAACGTATAGTATATGCAAGAATTAATTAAATGTATAATTGTATAATTGTTCCACCTCTTTTATATTGCTATTTCAAATTCATTCTTGGGCAGGTAAAGTTAATTAAATGTCTGGTAGAAAATATCGTGGTTGACATATCATTTAATCAGCTTGGTGGATTATGTACTCTTTGCTTCCTTGAGGAGGTTAGTAGTGTATTGTCATTGATTTCTAATAATGTGGAAATAAAGTAAGAAGCTTAGGACTCCTTTTGTCTATATTGCAGGTTGATCACTTGATAAGCCAGAACCATTTATTCAAACGCAGTATTATTTTGATTAAGGCATGGTGTTACTATGAAAGCCGTATATTGGGTGCACATCATGGTCTTATTTCAACTTATGCCTTGGAGACCCTAGTTCTTTATATATTTCACGTCTTCAACAAGTCCTTTACTGGACCACTTGAGGTTTGCTTTAATTATTTGTTTTGTTTCATAATATTAGCAACACCTTGTCAAGGCCATTCTTTAACTTTTAGGTGAAACATTTTTGTTTGTTTTTTTGTAAATGCAGGTGCTTTACCGCTTTTTAGAGTTCTTCAGCAACTTTGATTGGGATAATTTTTGTGTCAGCTTGTGGGGCCCTGTACCCATCAGATCACTCCCAGATGTAAATGGTAAGTTGAATGTGAATTTTTCTCATAATCCCATGTAGTTGCTCCTATGGGTGATGTTTATATTGGTCATGTCTTACAGCGGAACCTCCCCGTAAAGATAGTGGGGAATTGCTTCTCACCAAAGGATTTCTGGATGCTTGTAGCACTGTGTATGCTGTTTTTCCTGGTAGCCAGGAAAATCCCGGACAACCCTTTGCTTCTAAGCATTTTAATGTCATTGATCCTTTACGAGTGAACAACAACCTTGGACGTAGTGTCAGTAAAGGTATTTGAAGTCTTGAAACTATCTATTTCAACTTTTACGTTATTGAAACTATTACAACAACCTTGTTTCACACATTGCTTTTGTTCTTTTGGTAAATTACTTGGCGATTTCTTTAATGTTAATTGTGATGAAAGTTTCATCCTCCTCATCATCATCATCAAAACTGTTAATCATCATAATATTTTTTCATTTGCACTGAAAATATGACGAGAAGCCGAGAATGCAATGAGGTGAGATCATTCGTATAGTAATATTCATGAAAGCTCTACAAGATATATTGTAAAATCAATTTGTATATCATGAACAATGACCAGAATTATGATAGTGTAAATGGCTCCTTTGCGTTGGCAATTTCCATTCTTATTCATCGTATAGCTGAAAAAACTTTTCCTATCAGATTGAAATCTATATGTTCTTATAATTGGCCTTTTAAGTTTTCTTTTAAAATGAATGCCTCTTTCTGTGCAATTAGTTGCTCTGCAAATTAGCCAATTAAGGGTTTTCTTTTTACTTATTAGTTTAAACATGTGCATCTATCTCCAAGAACATTTGTCATGATGTATTTTCTTGGCTTATGGTTTACTAAATCATGTTTTTGTCTCTCATAACTAGATGCATGATTTCAGATTTGTTTGTTATCATCTGCTTTTTTCTACATTTATCGTAAGTCCTGACTATAGTTATGGGCACTTTGTATGGGCTGAAAGTTGTCCAATTGCAATCATTTCTGTCTCTATCTCTCTCAAACACACTTTTTATTATTATCAATTGCCTAGTTTTTGCAACATTAAATTCCTCGGTTGTGCTGTAATTTTGCTGGAAATTTTTATTTATTGGTTCACATAGACTCTTTGATTTGCTGGCAGGAAACTTTTTCAGGATACGCAGCGCATTCACTTTTGGTGCCAAAAGATTGTCAAGACTGCTAGACTGTCCAAAGGAAAATCTCATATATGAAATCAATCAATTTTTCCTGAACACGTGGGAAAGGTATGGCATTGGTGGCCGTCCGGATGCACCTGCATCTAATCATCTTCTTCAACCTGACAACATGAGGTTAAGCCCAACTCCGAAAAAAGTGAATGATCAAACCCAAAGAAGTAATCTAAATTTGATCACTTCAAGGGTGTCTGATCAGGTTGGTACAAGGGAAACTGACAGAAGTCAAAGAAGTTCCAAATCAGAGACTTTGGCGAATGGGATCCAAGGAAGGTTTGTTTTTGCCAGAACTCAATCCAGCCCTGAACTAATCAGATTGCCCGAAGGTTCAGAGATGCATTCCACCAATCCAACAAAACCAGATAACAACAACAACAACAATAGTACTATTAAGAACAGGATGATGAAGAACGCTCGAGGATCTGAGAATTCAACCAGCAATAGTGGTTGCTCTATAGATGCTGCAACTAACTCCAACAGTGGTTCAAACCATGATGCTTCAGGATTGAATGAAGAGCTTTCTTCAACAGGAGGCACACGGGCTTTTCTGCAAGAGGAAGAGCAGCAAGATGTTGTGAATATGATGGCTTCAACTTCACTCCATGATTTTAATAATGGTCAACAATTTCATCATCTCCCATTTAATATAACCTCACCCCACCTTCCTTTCCCCATCCCACCTTCTTTTCTAGCTTCCATGGGATATCCGCAACGCAACATGCCTGGATTCGTCCCTGCTAATTTCTCTATGGGTGATTCTTCATTTTCGAATGTTCAATTCCCCCATGCTTTAATGCCACAGCACATGACACAATATTTTAGTGGGCTTGGGTTGAGTCCAAATCCCGAAGATGCCATTGAGCCCAATAATCAAAATTTTATTACTTCTACAGAAATGTACTCAAGTGATGCTGAAAATGAATTTTGGCCAGAGCATCGTGATACAAGCTCGACTGTTGGTAATTTCGAAACAAACCAGTCTGAGGACCAGAAGCTTAACTTTGTTGCTGCTCCATCCTGGGTGAGATATCAACCGAAGCAGCATATCAAGGAAAACCATTGGTTTGATCATCATTCCCAGTTTTTTCAGGATAATGGAGTTAATAATAATGAAGTTTTTTGTGCCGAAGAAAGAATGGCTAGTTCCAGGCTGTCATCCACTGCCCACAGTAAGGCTTCTTCTGAGAGTTCATGGGACGGATCATCTGCTAAATCCTCAAAATCAGTCAGGGATAGAAGGGGAAAGAAGGCAATTTCTGTAGATGCACCATCAATTGGTTATGGAATGGGTAAAATGATGAGTCAATCCGTTCCTAAAGATGAAAATGAAGGTGATGAACAAGATTGGAGTATTGAAGTAGCAGAAAGAGGAGGGCATGGAGCTCAGACGAGCGGATCAGACTCGATGATACCTATTGCTCCGATGCTTATTAATTCCAGTTCTCAACAAAGATTAGCAGACAATTCCCCCGGTGTCATTGCATTTTACCCAACGGGCCCACCCGTCCCATTTTTTACAATGCTTCCTGTATACAACATCCCGCCTAAGGAAGGGATAAGCCGTTTTGGTGGGGGAGAAGGAAGCATTGATAATAGTGATTCTGGTCAGAACTTTGATTCATCATCTGAAGTTTTGGTGAATCATTCTGATGAACAACAGCATAAATCTGACATCCTTAACAGTGACTTTGCTAGCCATTGGCAAAATTTACAGTATGGGAGGTTTTGCCAAAGTCCAAGATACTCTCCCACGCCTTTAGCCTATCCGTCGCCCATGATGGTGCCACCTGTCTATCTGCAGGGTCGGTTTCCTTGGGACGGTCCCGGTAGACCGGCATCAACCAACACAAACCTATTCACCGAACTTATGAGTTATGGTGGTCCCCGTCTGGTTCCCGTGTCACCTGTCCAGTCCGTTCCTGATAGACCTGCAAATATGTTTCAACGTTATGCTGATGAGATTCCCAGGTACCGCAGTGGGACCGGTACTTATCTACCAAATCATCCTGTAAGTTTTTTTGCCCAAACTGTTAAGTCTCGGCTCTGTTGTTGTGGAGTTTGTTTGTAGTTGTAGTTTTTTTAATGTTATGGTGTAAGTTCCAGCTTTCTAGTTCCGTTTAACTGCATAAGTTTCGTTAGAAACATGATGGTTATTCATTGGTTTTACTTATTGGCGAAAGAAATTCTAATGGGAAAGTGGCACTCCTGGTCCTCAAATATGGGAAATATTAAATTTAATCCCTCAACTGTTAATGTCACCAGTCGCCACATTTAGTGCGACTTGTGTTAATTCATAAAGTGGTGTGTTACTCCCTGGTTCAAAGAAACTAATATTACCCGAAATAGGACTAAAAAGGTTTGAAAATTCTAAAATAGGACTGCCATGTTTTTATTCCCAAAATAGGACTAATTACTGCCATGTTTTGGCAGTACCAGACTTCAAACATGACTGTATTTTCCAAACTTGGTGTAATTACTCCTATTTTGGGAATAAAAAACATGGCAGTCCTATTTTGGAATTTTCAATCTGTTTTAGTCCTATTTCGGGAACTTTCCCTAATTTATAAAGTAAACACTTTCTACTTTTCTTAAATTAATGTATAAATTTGCATTAAATAATAAAATGTTGCTGTATAAGATCAAAGCCACAAAATAGAAAGGATGAAATAGTAAAAGGATTTGTGTAGACAAATAACATGATATTTATTTTATTCTATTTTTTATTGACGAAAGAAAAAAAATCGTTTCAATCGCCATCTTATTTCGTTATTCACTCCCTTTCCACTTTTTAACTTCTGGATAATCTTTAATATTGATTGTATTTGAGAAGAAAGAGGAATTCAATAACATAGATTATCATTAAATTAAAATAATCAGAGGGAATGAAAGATGGAAGATCGATTTTGATTCTAAATGAATAGTATTGCTTGTCAACATTATGGAGATATTTTTCAAAACAAATGGTGTATTGTTGCACTTCTATGGGGTGCGGGAAGGAAGAAAGTATAATTCTTTACTTTCAAGTGGATCTTGATGATCAATATAATCTGTTTTATTCTTTAGAAGGTCTCTGCAAGGGATAGAAGCTCTTCTGGGACCAGACGCGGAAGTTACAACAATGAGAGAAGTGACAACGGCGGGGACAGAGAGGGAAACTGGAACTCAAAGACAAGAGGTGGAGTTGGACGTGGCCGCAATTCTACAACTGAGAAGTCAAACGCAAGACCGGATCGGTTTCCTTCCAGTGATAGTCGAATGGACCGGCCATGGAACAACTCCTACAGAAATGACTCGTTCCATTCATACCCATCACAAAACGGTCCTATGCATGCTTCTAATTCAAATCAAAGTGCTACTCCAAACGTGGCATATGGTATGTATCCACTTTCTGCAATGAACACTGCAGGAGTGTCTACTAATGGTGGGCCCAGCAGTTCCCCTGTTGTAATGATGTATCCATCATATGACCACCACCCTGCTGCCAATTATGGTTCTCAAGTAGAACCACTAGAGTTTGGATCTTTTGGACCAGTAGGGTTCTCAGGCATGAATGAACAGCCACTGGTAAGTGAAGGGGCTAGACCTAGGGCAGCTTTTGAACATCGTAGGTTTCATGGGCAGCAGCAATCTTCACCAGATCAACCATCTTCACCATGTCATCAGAGGTAACAATCTGTTTTCCCCTTTTTACATGGAAAAAGCTATTTGTAGGCATAATTTGTACACATTTGTTGTACACCTCCCTAGTTGCGTGTGTACACAGGCAGCTCGTTCAGAAGCTCCTGTGTACACTAGGCAGTGTGTACAACAAATGTGTACAAATTATGTGTACAAGTAGCACCCCTCTTTTTACATGGAGTAATATAATTTTTAATATGTATTTCCAAATGGTTTACTTTTAACTTCAAAAACATGGGAATCAAATTTACCTTACTTTTTGGCCTCTACCTTTTTTTTGAATATTTACTTGTGATATATGTTTTTGGAACTTTAAGTTCTGCTGACAATATTGCTGTATCTTGTATTATTGATATCCAAAGGAACTAAATTTGTTCCTGTTTTAGTGTTCCGTTTGTTTGCAGGAAGGTATTGGTTTCCAGTGTTTAGCATTGGAAATATTTTTCTTGATTCTTCAGACTTTTGTTGAAAATGACTGCTGTTTTGAAACAGGAAGTCCTTTTCCAGAAATAGTTTTATGTTAATCTATTGTATAGGTCAAGAGTTTTATATTATACAAAAAAATCATCATAAAGTATAGTCCTGAACAAGTTATTTTCCTAGAAACAAAGTAACAAATGACTCCTAAGTCCAAATGGAGTCCAAGGCACCAACAGATATAAGGGAATAATGGATGAAGCTCTTGAGTATTACTTTGAAAAAACAGTACCCTGTCGTAGAAATATCACCCATCAGTTCTTGAAAAAATGGCTTAAAGCATAAGCTACGAAAATTCAATTGAGTATTATTAATAACATAAGAATTGTTAAGTTTGTATATCATGACATAATCTATGCTCCATGCCTTGCAGGAGGGGATAACTATTTTGACGAATCTGCAATCGAATGATAAAAAGATTCCCCGCCTCTTAAAATTTTAAAGGTGGAAGGGTAGCTGTGGAAAAGGGTCATAAGAATATTTGGGGCATTATAGGATTGAGCAGTTATGTATCTTGTTGTTGTAGACTACCAGATCTGTGTATGTTTTTTAGCTGAAGCCTCCAGTAACAACAATGTGGAAGGCATTTTGGAGGGAGTTAGGTGACAAATGTTTTATATATTTCTGCCCTCCGATTGCAGGGAATGTTTGTAAACTCTCAATGATGTACAACTTCCAAGCGTGTATTAGCTGTTTATGTTATAGCATTCTACCTTAGATTTTTCTGTTTGGGATTTTGGGAACATGATGGCTGTTAATGCCTGCCAATCTGCCATTGGTGTTAGTTTGGTTTTTGATAGTATATAAACCTGCAAGGCTGCAAACTTAATGCTGCATTATCCTAGGTGTATATATCATTTCATCTTTCTTTTTTAGACCTTCCCCAAACTATTTTTCTCGTATCAAATTGGCCATATTTTGTGGCTCATAATCAATGTTACATTTACATATTCAGTACCAAAACAATCTCACCTTTTTATATATATTTAAGCAAAATTGACACCAATAATCATATTTTTTTGCATGCAGTGAAATAATCCTTGTTGAAAAAGTGCACATCAATAATCGATTATCTCAACTTGTTATACGCCTTAAAGTTTACTTTTCCGTTATTTTTGTATGTTCAGAGAAGTGAGAAATATACTCTATTAGAGTATTATATTTGATCCTAAACTTATTTTCGCCATGAATTCAAATTAACATTGAATATTTTCACAAAATATAGTACAATACATGGATAAATACTCATCAAGTTATCTTTTACTCTTATTCTTATCAATATTTTAAAAATATTCTTGGATTTTCATAATAATAGATATTTCAAAATATTCAAGTAATATCACATTAAGTATGAATATGAAGTAGAAATCTAGGAAGTATGTAATAAGTATATTTAACTTGGTCAAATAGTATAATTTGATCTCTTATAATTTGTGACTCATGTGGTAATAATATATTCAAACCCTCGTCTTCTAAAAAAAATTATACATTTAGATACTACTAACCCATGTTCCAAATATAATATCCCAGTTCCACAAATTTTAACGTAGTTGCATTTGAAATACATTTTGAATATAAAAGAGTTAACATTGTTAAATGACATTCATTTTATGAAACACTTAGCAAGATGATTTATTGTCAATTTATCGTGAGCTTTGTAATAGAGTTTTTATTATTATTTAAAGTAGTCATTATTGGTATGAATATGAACAAAACGACAATTAGAAAAAAGGCAAGTGAGGTGGACAAATATTTAATCGAACCGTGCCAAAATGAACTAAGTCAAATTTAACCCGAATCATATGCATTTCGGTTTGAGTAAATCAAATCGAACCGGAACTGTGAAAATCCGAACCACACTAAATTATTCAATTAATTCTTCATAGAATTTTTAAAAATAACAAATTCAAATCGAACCGAACAACCACGAACTGAATCAACTTGAAATATAGTACTCGTATGATATTCTTTGGTAGTCATTCTTCCAATCCTTTTGAAACTGAAATGAAACTGATAGAAATCAAACCAAATGCAGAATTCCTACCTTAGGTTGGACTATGACTATGCAATGGCAATTCGTTTTTATGATTTTATGAATATATGTATGTAAAACCCATGATTCAGTTACTTATTTTAGGAAACCGGGACAAAGCATTTGTCAATGAACATGCTGGATGAGGCATGCAACAAGTAGAGCATTCACCTAAACTCGTTTTTGTATTTCGTATATCACTACCAAAAAAACACGGGATTGGCAGAGATTTTGGCACAAACTAGAAAAATCGGTAATCCGTGCCAAATTTTCGTGTCAATCCCGTGTTTTTTTGTAGTGATATTCTCTCATTATTTTTAGGCCCATGTAATTTACAACTTGGACTTGCATTAAATATCATAAACCTTTTGTGCTAAACTATCCTCCACCTATTACCTACATAGTTGCAGATGAACCATTCATACAACGATCATTCAACAGGACTTAAGTGTAACACTAGTTGCGTAGCAAATCTTTCCTGTCTTTCATATATTAATACGTAGTAACATTTTACCATGTCCACTCCTTGGAATGTGCACTGGGTCGTGTATGCTATTTTGTAGTTGTGTTTTCACGCAAATTCAAAATAAAAGGATACCTGGTCTCCAAAATTTTTCCAACATTCTTAAACCTTTTTTTGCTACCAATCATTCTTATTTTCATATCAAATAGTTCTGATATTGATTGTCATCTTTAAGGGTTTTGAAGGTGATTTTGATACATCATCTCAACACACACAACTCTACTTCTGTCCCTTGATTCTTACTCCATTTTGAAGTGTGTTGAGCATTAATTTTACTAAGCAAAATTCATATTCTTAATATCTAGCTATCTTTTAAGAGCAACATTGTGCATCATTTTGAGTTTTATTTAGTAATTCAATATACTCATATAACTATAATTTCTTTCGCTCTCTTAACTTTTAAATCTTTTGAGAGAAGGAGAACCCATGCTTCATACATTCACTTATACTCTTAATTGGTATAAACTATTGTATAAAGGTTAGGAAGATCCTACTTCAAAATCGCTTTAGTGGTTGAGAAAAAGCATTTGTAAAATCTTCATACAGTCAAGGATATTCGTTGAAAAATCTTCGAATGGTTGAGGAAATCCGTTTGTAAATCCTCAAGCCCACTGGAAACGTTTTTTTTTTTGCCAAAGATTCTTGCAACGCTTTTGCTCATTTTAAAAGAGACCAGAGAACTAGTGAACTTTGAAATGCTGAGAGATGTGTCTTTGGATACCGAATTAGGCGCGCAGCCGAACTAATATACATCAAAGTGTCATCTACTCCCTCCGTCCCAGGGAGAAGTTTCCGGGTTGACTTTCACACATATTAAGGAAATAAAGTTACTGAGGGGTAAATTTTACTGTTTGGCACTGTTTCGACACTGTTTGGCACTGTTTCGACACTGTTTGGCACTGTTTTGCACTGTTTCGACATTGTTTGGCACTGTTTTGCACTGTTTGGCACTGTTTTTATGTAGGATAACTTTCCATTCAAGGAAATGGGAACTTTTTGTTGGGACTGCCAAAAAAGGAAATTGGGAACTTCTCTCTGGGACGGAGGTAGTAATATATTGTATAATTTTTTTCATTGTTCTTTTTGTGTGGGAATATCATTGATTTCAAACCTCTCTTTACACACTTGGAAGATCTCACTCTATCCTCTAATACTTAAATGCACCAAGTGACATTTGAATTTTTCTATCCTAGAGAGAAGGTTATATATGCTGAGTGTTAGATTTTTCTTATATCAATTTAGCGATATTGAAACTTAATTGTATATATATTCTGCTGCATAGATGTTTCAAAGTAAATATAGTTCATCTACCTCTTAAATTGTACACCCTCTTTTATTTTACTTTATGCTTTTATAGTTTTATGTTATATACTTCCTCCGTTCTTAAATAAGTGCAACGGTCAATATTTCACATTTGTCGAGACACAACTTTGACCATTTATATATATAAATATCTATTAGTAAAAAAATTTAAAAAATCAGATTTTGAAAATTTACAATGAGACAAATTTAATAATATTTTTTTCAAAAATATATATTAATACATTAATAAATAAAATGTAGTCAAAGTAGAACATGCGAATATGTAAAATTTGGTATGTTGCACTTATTTAAGAACGGGGTAGTATACTATACTACTACGTATTTGCAATCAATGGTTATCCATATCATCATAATTCATAACGATACAACGGCAAAATCTATTGATACACCAGCTATCAATTGAAAGAAAAAACCAAGTGACATATCAAAATATTAAAACAAGCGTTATTGGCCATTACATCCAGATATTTCATCGTCCACCTAGCTTGGCCATATACATAACTCTTTGAGAAGCTTACTGAACATCATATAATGGGTAACATTAATTTTTATGGATGTATTATGTATACATAGTAAATGGAAGTGGAGTAATATATCATGTCATTTATTGCATGCACTTATTATATGGATAAATCCAATAACAATTTATTGCTAAAAGATTGTTGATATAGAATTCTCCTCTTTCCTTCTTCATCCTCTTTTCTCTACTTTTTTATGTCAATTTTTATTATTATTTAACAAAATCAACTTATTCATCTTATTTCATCTATCTTGATTTTTTTTCTAATTTTCTTTAAATTACAGGTAAATTAATTACACATACAAGTACATCATTCATTTGGATGTATATAGACAATTAAATTTTTTGTTCACCTAGACAATTGAAAGTTGATCACACAGATAACTATTATCTGTGAGCTGGCACAATTATTGTCCGTGTGATAAATATTGTCTGCAAACAAACAAATAATTGTCTGTGCAACATGAAAATGTTGTCTGTGCACACATGCTCTGCATATATATTGATTGATTTGCAAGCTGGTGTCACTGTAGACGAGTGTCAGTGTACTTTTTACAATAAAAGTAAATGTTTGTAGACATAACAATTCTGTACCAATTTTATGTGACCGTCATTTTTTGTACAAGTTGTGTATAACTTGTGTACCTCTAGCATTTTTTGTAGTATACAAGTATCTCTTGGAATTTCTTAGTAGAGTTTTGCATATATATTAACCGTTAGATTTTTTTTTTCGATCCTTTCCTTTATTGAGGACCAAATGAAAATTCAGGACTCCAAATTATTCGTTTATGTCCAAAACCAATCGTTTAAATTTCCCAATTGTAGATTTGCCAATCGGCTTCCCTGTTTTCGTCGTCTCCACCGCATCTTCTCTGCTAGCCAATCCGAATATCCTCAATCGAAATACCACCCAGAATGCAAGAAACCAACGCCGTTCACCAAGTACTCGTCAAGCTTCTCGATGGCAAGCACAGAACCCTAAATTTTTCCAGCCAATCCGTTCCTGTTCAAACCCTAAAACAAAAGATCCAAACGCTAACTCTAATCCCCGCTCCGCTACAACTTCTGCTATCTTCCGACTCCCGTTGCGCTTTACAGGACCACCAAACACTCGATTTCGGAACCGGATCACAACAAAAACCCGTTTCAGAAAACAAGTCGGGCAATGAGTCCGGCTATTTCCCCGTGGTGATCCACGTGTTACTCCGACTGAGAGGTGGAAAAGGTGGGTTCGGTTCGTTGCTCAGAGGGGCGGCAACGAAGGCCGGACAGAAAAAGACTAACAATTTTGATGCTTGCCGGGATATGAGTGGAAGGAGGCTCAGGCACGTTAACGCCGAGAAGAAATTGGAGGAGTGGAAGGCTGAATCTGGAGAGAGGAGATTGGAGAAGATGGCTGAGGACTATATAAAGAACAAGGCCAAGGAAATGGCTAAGAAGGAGAGCGG